ATCCCACATATAAAGCAGAGGAAGATGGGCATGGATGTTAGCTCAGAGCCAGTCTTCCTCAGCAAAAAGAGGATTGGCAGCAGATGTTCGCTCAGGGCTAATCTTCCTCAAAAAAAGAAAGAAAGAAAGAAAGAAAGAAATGGCCCGCTCTGTCCTGGGGGGTGAGGGACACCATCAAGGCGAAACGTACGACGTGTACATCTGCTGGGGACCCCAGCGGAGGCCTTACAGAAAGGGGGAGAATGGAGCCATGGGGGGAGCCCCCCAGGGCCCCAACTCTGAAAAGGCGGAACCAGGGACCCGCCCCACAGAGCTGAGCCAGGCAGGGAGTGCAGATGTGTGGGGAGAGGCCTGGGGCTCTCCCCCGCCCCCCGAGGCCGGGCCTTGTGTGGAGGGAGAGCAGGCCGCTCTTTCTTCCCTCTGTCATAACGTCAGGGCTCTAGCATTCATCCGAGGAGGCTGAGGCCAATCGAAGCCAGATGTGGGAACAACAAAAAAAATGCTGATTATTTTGACTAGGAAAAGCCCTATTTACAAAGAAATAATGAAGTGATTTGGGGGGATTGTTGCTGGGGATGGTCTCAGTCGGGAAGGAGTAAATGCAGATGCTAAACAGGTTGCCCGTGGGCCATGTGGGGAACGGTCCTGGGCCGGCTGCTGCCAAGGCCGGAGGCCCTGGGTCCCCGCGGGAGGGGGCTCGGGGGTCTGGGGCTGAGCCCTATGGCGTGCAGCTCCCTCTGGGCAAAGGTGGGTGGAAACCTTGAGAGAGGTTCCTGGAAAGGAGACCCAGCCCCCTGAATGCCTTTGCCCTTTGGCCCGGGAAGCCTGGGCATCGCAGGGGCTGCTGGCAGAAATGGAGGGGGCTTCCCTGCCGTGTGTGCATCTGTCTGCCATGCGGGGAGTCCCAGCTCAGCCCTGTGAGAGCGTGGAAATGTGCAAAGAGGAGGATTCCCTGTCCCGAAGGGACTTCAGTCAGTTGCAAAGATGGGATGGTCACCCGCATGCACGGTGACTCAGGGATCGGCCTGAGGCCCCCTGACATGTGGGAGCAGTGCACATTGTGCACGGCCACACACGCGTCCTTTCACGCACGATCGGATGCACAAAATGTGGTCCATACACATGTGGAATATTACTCAGCCTTAAAAAGGAAATTCTGACACCCGCCACCATATGAACGGACCTGGAGGGCATTACGCTGAGTGAAAGAGGCCATCACAAGAGACCACACGCTGCAGATTCCATCTCTATGAAACGTCCGGAAGAGGCAAATCCACACAGACGGAAAGCAGACTCGCTTGGCGGGGTCTGGGGGTGGGGGGATGGCGGCGTGCCTGAGAAGGGGAGCTGCGTGCTTCCGGGCGACGTGCAAATGTTTTAACATCGATCACAGAGAGAGATACACAACTGGGAACAAACTAAGGGACGTTGAGAGAGCCCCTTTCAATGGGTGGAATGTAGGGTATATGAACTATATCTCAATAAATCTGCTTGAAACTAAGAAAAGAACTTCCCACGCCCAGCCCTTCCTGCCCTGTGTGGTGGGAGGGAGGCGACTGCGTCACGACAGCCGGAAGTCAGATGTGGCAGCCTCCAGCTTCCGTGGAAACAGGGATCGGTGGCAGAGGTGCCCAGCCAGGCACGTCACCCAGGCCTGACCCAAAGCTCAGACTCCCAGGGACAGGCCGGCGGGGTCTCCTGTCTGGTCGAGCTGACTTGCTGAATGCATTCACTCACGTACTCACTCATGTACTCATTCATTCATTCACTCATTCATTCCTTCACTAACAGAGTTTAGCATCACATGAAAGTCGGAAGGTGGGAGGGGAACCCCAAGATCAGGTCACACCAGAGCCACCTTCCAGGGACGTGATTTCTTCAGTTTCCTCTGCATTTTAAGACCTGGGGGTGTGGGACAAGAGGAACTCCTGTGCTCGTGGTCTTGGGTCCCCTGCTAGGGGCTGGGGGCCCTGTTGGGGCTGGGGAGGGCTCACAGAGGCCAGAAGACGGGGAGCCCCGGGTGGGCAGATGTCCTCTAATTCGACTTGGGCTCCAGGCTGCAGAAGCCCTGTGGGCTCTTCCCGGCAGAGGAGCCAGGCTGGGCGGGTGGGGTGGGGGCCACCTCCCCAGCTCGTGGGCTGTCACCTGCAGTCAGTTACTTAAGCGATGCCTTTGGAGCTGGGATGACAACGTGATGCAGCCTCGGGGAGGACTAGCGGGTCCTTGAAGAGGAAAACCAGACGCTGACAGAGAGACTGTGGCCAGATGGGTTTCCGCTCCATCCCGGTGGCCCTGGGCGGCTGGGCCTCACCTGGAGCTGCTGGGGGGTCTGGGACCGTCCCTGCGGGCCACCGAGCGGGGCCCGCTGCAGCCATAACTCATCAGCACAGAGCAGGAACGAGGCCGTCCGGCTCCAGCAGAGCCCGGTGCAGCCCCGAGGGGGCCAGGCAGGGGCCCCCTGCCCCTGCAGCCCCTTCCTCTGCCTGCTGCAACCTGAGTTGCCTGGGTCTTGCATTCCCCCTTGCAAAGTAAACAGAGCCCCCTCCTACACGGCACAAATGAACAAGGCAGGTGAGGGGGCGCGGGGGTGGCGGCGGGCAGCCCTGGGGGCTCTCACTTGCCTCCTTTGTCTGTTTACTTTCCCCCAGGAGCTGGCCCAGGAGCTCCTAGCGGGACCATCCACACAAGACGGGGAGCCCCCAGACCCACTGGGTCAGGGCCCCTCTCCCTTTCCTGGCCCCACGTGAGGATGTCCAGCAAAAGTGGGTCTACTCCAGTTCCCTCTGCAGGAGCTGACAAGCTGTTTGTGTCACAAGGGGGGTCTTCCCCAGGCGTCAGTGGGAGGATGATGCCCGCGCTAGGGGGCCCCTGGGAGACCCTCCTCTGGTCCCCAGGCGGGGGTAATCACTATGGGGTGAGGCTGCTGGGACCAGAAGTCTGGACTGCCATCTCCCAGCTGTTTGAGAAAAGGGGAAATGGAGTCACGGAGAAGCCAACCATGGGGCCCATTGTCTCCGGGGCAGAGACAGATCGCCCAAGACACTGGTCCTCTCCCTCCCCAAGCCTCAAGTCAGGGAGCGGCCAGGGAGACCGGGCAGCCTCTAGCCAGCCCCCTCTAAATGCTCTGTGCCTGGGCATGGGGGTGCAGTAGCCCCCCCAGTTGAAGGCCCCTTCCTGGATTCCTGGGCGTCCTGCACGGCAGCCCCCGACCCCATACTCCCTGTCCACCCGGCACTCCCTCCACTTTCCGCCCAGCCCTGTCCCATAGTGCCTTCCTTTCCCCCTGCCTCCTTTCCACCCTCACACCCACAAGGCGCTGACGCTGGGCAGAGAAGGGGTTCTGCTGGCCCTTGGGGTGCTGCGGAGACCGGGACGCTGAGGCTCGAGGCCCCTTCCTGTTCCCCTGGCAAGAAGAGCAGCCGCAGTGGATGCCCAGGCCTACGGGGGGACGTTGGGAGCACAGCGAGGACAGCAGAGCCTTGGGTGGGCTGCGGGCAGGGTCTGCAGGCTGAGGCCAGCTGGAGGAGCTGGGGCTGTGTCCGGGGGTGCGCGGCGCGGTCAGCGCCGGGCGTGCAGTGGATGAAGGATGGGCTTCCTCTCCCAGCCTCGAGTTGGGGTCCTCAGGGCCGCAGGGCCCCATGAATTATTTCTCTAAGGAAAATACCGTTGACTCCGTCCTCCAGTCTCCTTCCGGACCTTCCCCGTCACTTTAAATCAACACTGAAGGGTGGCGTCTGCCCGGACCTTCACCCTCCAGGCGGAGGGGAGCTGCGAGGCCTACGTGCCGGCGCTGACCCGCTGTCCTCGCTCTCCGGGTGTCCCTCGGGGTGGAGGGGGTGGCTGAGTTAGCTCCCCACTTCCGTCTCTCCCTGCGAGGCCCCCGGAGGCAGCCCCTGGCGGCGGAGGGAAGAGCCGGGGCTTGGCTCAGACCACAGCAGGCAGCACTCCAGAATGGGGTTCTGGGGGGCCCTGAGGCCTCGTGGCATCCGTGTCCCACCCCGGGGGGGATGTGGTCTGATTCTCCCCAGCACGTCAACAACCCTTTCTTGCTTGCTCCCCAAATCTCTAGGTCCAATCTCTCTCTTAGCAGCAAACCGACAGGCAGACTCCTTCACAAACTGTACTAACAAACCATATGGCTTTCACTCCTTCTACACACATTCACGGAGCAGCCACCATGTGCTGGCATCTCCGGGGGCGCCCAGTGGGGCTTTTAATGCAAAGCTCGATTAAAAAAAACAAAGTAAGAGTGGCAGACAGATCTTAGGGACCTGAGATGCAGGGAACCAGGCCGCCTGGACACCACGGGACACGGCCATCTCAAACCCCACCTGCCATGGGCCTCTGGACGCCGTCTCCTTCCCCACCTCATCCGCTCCCACGGTGCTGATGACCACTGACCATGCTCCTGTGTTCGAGCCTTCGGACCCGGCACTTCCCAGATCTGGGCCTCCCAGCCTCCATCCTACGGCCCTCAGCTCCACGGATTAATGCTCTCTCCTCAAAACCACTTCCTGTGGTCCCGCCCCGATCAGAGACCTACCGATCGTGCCTAACTGGAACCTCTGCCTGGACAGGCTCCCTCCTACAGCCAGCACACGCACCCTGCCCTCTGCCCTTGACACGCACGCTCACCCCTCCTCACTACAGAATCTCAAGTGGAGCCGCTCACATTTACTTTCTGGGTGCTTTTCACGGGTGTGTCTCATTACCCCTACTGGAACAGGGTTCCTGGCCTGCCTGTCTGCCTTTGGGGGTCCCGGTCTTGCCTTAGGTTCACGGGAGCAGAGCCAGACACATGGTCGTGTGAGCCCAACGGTCACCAGGGTCCCAGGGCCCACCCACTGCCCGTGTGCTGAGTGTACAGTGGCTTCCAGGGGGAGCTCGGCCAGGCTGCCACCGGCGCTCGGGTGGGGGGGTGGTGGGAGCCCCCACGACCAGCAGGCGAGGCCTCAGGCCTGCTGTGGGGAGATGGGGAACAGAGGGAACAGAGCCGGTGGTCGTCTCTCCACAAGCGAGATTTTTATTAGAGCTGTCAGAGCTGGGGCCCGTCACAGGCCAAACCAGTTGGGGACGCCCCCGCGCCGAGGGTCGTGCCTCTGCCTCTCCCTCTGCTCTTCCAGGAACTTGTCCTGGATGTCCTCGTCCACAGCGGTGCTGCCCTCACTCTGCTTCTTCTCAGGAAACAGATCTGGGAATGTGAAGGTCTGTCCGTGTGCCTGGGGAGAGAGGGCGCATGCTCCAGCAGGGCCGAGCGCGGCCGCCATGCTTTCCGAGACGAGGGCTGGACAGACCTGCCCGCCCCCGTGCTGCTCCTGACCCACGCCCCACGCCCGCAGGACAGACAAGCAGCCAGCATCTCTGGAGCAATGTCCCTGCCTGGAAAATAAACAGCTCGGTCGGCCCTGGGGCCCCTGGCTTTTATCTAGCAGCGGGAAACCATTACTCTGGGACAATGCCCCTTTTCATAGACATTATCTCCTTGTGGAGTGGAGTCTGCACCGGGCTGGGGGCCTCATTAACAGCAGCCCAGCAAAGCGCCCATCCACCGGCTCGGGGCAGCCTGGGCAGACCAGGGGCAGGAGCGGGCACAGGAAAATCACGTCTGGTGCCACGCTGGAACTTCTTCCATGCAAAATACCTAAAGGCCTTTACCCACATGAAACACCAGGCCTCCTCCCGCTCAGGGCTTGGCAAATAAAACGCATGTAACGTACAAAGAAATGTACAGATGCAGAGTCTATAAATCAAGACCGGCTTTGCAAGTTAACTGGTTTTACATCTTTCACTAAAAGTTCAGAGTGTGTCACTGTCGGCCAAATCCCAACCCGGACCCCTGAGCACATGGGCCGGGGTACCAGCCTGGCCCCCTGGTTCGTGTGGAGGAGGATCGCTTGCTCTCTGGGGACTTAAGCAACCATGAGGGGCCGTTTCAACTATTTGCTGACTCTCACGAAGCAGCTCGGAAGATAAGGGTGGGGAGGGCGGGCGCCGGGCGCTCTCAGGGCCGCGTCTGGAAACAGACACCGGGAAGGAGGACGGAGGGCGGCCTCCGTATCTGGAAAATTTTAATAAGTAGAATCAGTAAAGCGGGCTGGGTTCTTGCAGACCCTTGTTTTGTAAAGAAATTTGGATTTGGGCAGGCGGCCAAGCATGATCTGAAACAGCCCACGTCCTCCGCCCCGGGAACGAACGGGAGGTTTATAAACTCTGATTGCAGCTCGGGGTGCAGGCCCCGAGTGACGAAAAGCAGTGCCGGTGCGCGCAGTAGTCGGCCTGCAGGGGGTTATCTTCCACATTGCAAAACTCTTTTTTTTTTGTTGTTTTTTAAAATACCAGAGGGCAACGGTTTACATGCAGGGCTGACTGCCCAGAACGGGGGATTTATGTTTCATATATGGACGTGACTCTGCTAGATTTCTGAGGTGGGGGAACATAAAATGACATTTTAAGACATAAATACAAAGAGGCGACTTGCAATAACTTGAGAAAAAACGGAGGAAGCCGGGGAGAGAAATGCTTCATTTCTCCCCCAAGACGAGAGCCACTGGTGGGTGCCGAGTGAAGCTTCCCGGGGTCAGGCCCCGCTTCCCGGGGGGGCCCCTTTCTAGAGAACCCACCTAGTACTCTCACAAGTAAAACCCTCAGCCTTTCGAGAGAGGAGTGAGCGAGCTGACTGGCAGAAAGAACAGGAAAGGGGAAAAATGTCACGGTGAACAGCGAGGAAGCCGGCGGGGCCAGGCAGCCCTGAGAGCCCTTAGCCACTGTCTGCGCCCCAGGCGGTAGGGCCGCGCCGTCCGCCGGGCAGCAGCGTCAGCATGTGCTCCGGCGGCAGGTCAAGGCTTTTTCTGTCGTGTTGGGGACCGGGCGCCCGCGAGGGCCCGGGGACTCAGGGCCAAAGGGATGTTTATCAGGTTGTAGGGAAAAATGTGGATCTCCCACCATGCGGGCCGGCTTCTCCGCAGCAGCCAACTCAAAATAAATTCGGTAATTTAATTTGTCTTTCTGCTGGAGTCTCTGTGTGCTTTACAATTAGCTTTGTTGTTAGAAGCCCCAGGACAGGCCCAAAGGGACACATCGGGGGGAGGACGGTCTCAGTAGACGCGGGACAGAGAAGGGACGTCTTCAGAGGGGCAGGCACCTGCCCAGGGGGGCACACCCTGCTCCCAGCTGTGCCGCCTCAGCCCGCCCACCTCGATTTCAGAGGAAGAACCGACGTGGCGCAGCTGCAGATAGCAGGTCTGAGGGCTGCCGAGCTCGGCTGTCACGAGTGGGGTGGGGCCCGGGGAAAAATGCGAGGGCTCAGATGACTCAAAAGCCACTTGTAACGACGGCTTGCCTGCTGTAGGGCCTCGTGGTGAATGCCGATATATGGGATGTCAGCCCGCATGCCACGGCAAAGACAGATGGCCTGGTCTAGCACGGAGGACACGGGTGTCTTTATAAGGCCGGGCAGCTCTCTCCACCTGGATTGGCGCATTTTACGCACAGCAAATATCAGGCCAAATAATGACGGGAGCCCCTGTTCAGAACAACGGGGCCTGTTTTTCAGAAAAACTGCCCCACTGACGTGGTCTTTCGACAAACTGCCTCCTGACGCACAGAATAGGGCTGTGGCCGGGCTGTGTCTGCAATAACGCTACTGCCACCTAGTGGCCGGGCCAGCCGCCACCGGGCTCGGCGCAGGCTGTTGACAGGTTATCAGAAGAAATCAGAGGAAGCCCCCCCACGGTTGCAAACAGCGGGGGTGCTGTCAATGGGCCCTGTGGGCAGCTGTCCCTGGAGGGTCTCCACAGAGGCCACCCTGCCTGCAGACCACGACCTTGATGCCCACGCCAGCACCGGCGGCCCGTTCTCGGTTGAGAGCCAGTCTGAGAAGGCATATCTGGGGTCCCACCACACACGGGAAAGGAAGAGCCCGAAACAGGGCTTTGCAAATGTGTGCCCTACTCTCCGCAGCTCTGGGTTTGGTCAGTAAAGGCTCAGAAGGGGTCCTGGCCCCTCTTCCCAGAGCCCCTGGCCAGGCAGGAGGCACAGTGAAGAGGACCTGGCAGAATGTGCTGGAGTCCCACAATGCAGTCCAGAGGGGAGGGGGCTCAGCCAGGACTCCAGGGCCCAGCAAACCGTCTGGGCTCTGAGACCGAGGCCCTGCGGCAACTTCTATCTCACAGCACTAAGGGCCTCCTGTCCGGGCCTGTCCAAGGACAGGCTCTCCAGGGCAGGAGCCTGAGATGGTCGGCAGGGTCTGGTTTCTGTCTGAGCCCAAACCCCCGAGGCCTGGGTGGGCTGGCCTCTGCCCACAGCACATTCAAGTCCAAAGGCACCACGCAGCCAGCCAGCCAGAAGTTCCAAAATGCCCCGTGCCCGTCTCCTCCCACGAGATGAAGTGTGCTTTGAACCCCAGCTCCCTTTGGGGTTCACGGTGGACAAGAACCAAGGGCAGGCTCTGCCCCAGCTGTGGACCTTGAGATCCTGCCTCTCGAGGCCTCCTGGGCCCCTCGGCAGCAGCTGATGCAGAAGCATGTCCTCCACCAAGGTCAGGGGAGTGACAACTTAGCCCGGGGCTCAGGACTCTGCCCCAGAGCTCACTCACCAGCTGCACATAGGCCACCTTGTAGTCTGGCTTTTTGATCCTGACGTTTCTGTGATCCCTCTTCCTGTTGGAACCTGTGGAGGGCAGGGGGGGTGCTTTACTCCCAGCACGAAACTTTCAGTCCATCTAACCCAAAAACCCACTTTCTCAAGAAGGGAACATATAGGAGCCAGTGGGTCTCCCACAGACGACAGCACGTCACACCCTGAATGTGCCCGTTTCCAATGCACACACCACACTTGCAGAACAGGCACCAGGGCTGGGGACCTCGGCTCTGCTAGGAGCCCGCGTGTCTAAAATAACTCAGGAAACTGATCTCTCCTGTCTGTCGGGGCAGGGCCCTTGCTGGCCGTCCTCACTTCAGACTGAAGGTCGTCAGATTTACAACGCAGGGGGACAGGGTCAACAGGAAGGAGGGAGAACCGGTTGGGGGAATGAAGAAAGCACTCTGCTGACCTGACCTCCCTCCGCGGTAGAGGGGAAGCGGCTGCGTGGGGCTGGCGGGCTGGTGGGCGGGCTGGGGGCCCAAGGTCCTGGGCAGTGCTCAGAGCAGCCTGTGGGGCCGGCCCACCCGGGTTCCAGTCCCAGATGTGCCCTGGGGAGAGTGACCCCAGGAGGTCACCTCAACCCCTGGGCCTCAGTTTCCTCTTGTGCCAAGAACCAGACCCCAAGAAGTGGCTGCAAGGAGGACGCGGGACAGCCACATAGGGCAGCCTGGGGGAGAGCCCACACGCGAGACAGGGCATAGCCCACCCCGGCACGCACCGTGCTGCACCCTCGTCCGCACGGCGGCCACGGGCACGTTGTAAATACGCTCTAGATAATTCCTGAGGTCCACCCTGGTCATCCTGCACATAGGAAAAGAAGGCTGAGATAAAAAGCAGCCCGCCAACGGGGGAAGAGGTGCCAGGCTGCGGGCCGAGGGTGGGAGGTAGGGGCACAGCCTCACCCCTGCGTTGGGGGGAGCCGGGGCTGAGACCACTGGTCCCCGCCCAGCACTCTCCCGTCCTCAACACATCATGTGGGGTGACGGAGGGACCGGGTCCCCAGTTCCATTCACCCTCCCGCTGGCCCACGCTCATGGGGGCCAAGCTCCCAGACACTGCTCTCTCAGACACTGCTCTCCCAGGGGCAGGAACGGTCTGTGAGTGCCCCTGGCCGCCAGGAGGCCAGCCTGCTACAGCCGGTCCTGTCTGTAGCTGCCCGCCTGCCTGGCACGAGGTCCTCTCCTAGAAATGATGGTTGAGGCATTGGTGCATTTGGTCCCTGTTCCCTCCACACCTTAAAGGGCATCAAAAGGGGCCCGCAGCTCCTCCTGCCCCCTCCTCTGAAGGCTGAGAGCAGGCCCTTGGCTGACACAGAAGCTCGAGCCAACCCCCCGGGCCCCTGGCCTGGGACAGTCACATCCTAAGACTTCAGAGCAGCACCCTGCAGCGTGGGTGACAGGGCCATGTGTCGCTTTGTAACTGGGGGCCTTTGTGAAGGAACCACCTGGAGGACCGAGGTTTGGGAAGTTGAGGGGAGCAGCTCTGAAGTCACGGCCCAGCCTCCGGAGAGAGCAGCCAGGCTCAGGCCTCGGCTAGACTAGGCCGCCTCAGGTGCAGGGAGCGGGGAGGCGAGCCGGTGCAGGCTCCTCCAAGGCTCTGCGAACACCAGGCCCTCAGTCAATATTTGCAGAGCCCGGAGCTGCCTGAAGGATTTTCAGAGCGGGAAGAAGCCCCGCTTGTGAGCCGGGTTCCGTGACATGGCCAGAACTGCAGGCCCTTGGGGGTGCTCCCCAGCCCGGATTCCTGGGGGGCTTACTCCATGGGGATCCGGAACTGCACGGTGTCCTCAGGCTGGGCCGTGCCGGGCCGCACCAGCCGAATGAAGAAGTTGGTGCGGAAGACTCGTAGCTGGGGGTTGCCCAGCTGGTACAGTGGGTACCTGTGAGGGAGACGTGTGTCTGCATCACACTCAGAACACGGGACACCCCCAAAGACCCCCATCTGTTCACCAATGTGAACAGGGGCAGGAAGCAAACAGGGGCTGCTGTCCCAGGCCACTGCCCTGAGGTCCCTGCAGCCCCCTTCGCTCAGCACATAGTTCAACCCCGCGTGGGCGGCCAGTTCCCCCAACCCCAGCATCGACTCAGGGTACAGCGGGCCGTTGACCCCCAAGGCCGGCCTTTGGAAAAGGCCGATGAACGATTCAAAAAACAAACAGAGGCCAGCAGAGCGTGTGCCCACCCCAGCCCTCCAGACAGGCTGGCGGCACGGCTCAGAGACGTGTTTGTTCAAAGTGATGGACAAGGCACGCGGCCCCCGCATGGCTATCACCCTTCCCAGGCCGGAGCCCCACAGGGGGCAGGCCTGCAGACGGCACCAATCACCGCCACTCCCTTCTGCTCAGGTGAGGTGGAACCACACAGAACCAGCTCGCTGCTGACGCGAGCTTAACCCCGCAGCAGACCGGGGTCACTGCACTCTCTCCCCGAGGGTGGGGGAGCGCCACCTCCTCCCCCCGCCCCGGGGGAGTGAGGAATGCAGGACAAGAGGCTCAGGAAGATGGTGTTTGCAGTCACCAACCGCACTACCTCCCCCACCCCAAAAAGCCCCCAAGCGAGCAGAGGCAGCTAGGAAGGTGCAAGTGGCCACCATCTGCAGCTCCGACCCACTGCCACCACCAAAGGGACCAGTGCTCTGGGTTGGGCTGGGGAACAAGGAGGACACATTGCCAAGTGCACCCACCCGGGCCTCGGGGCTGGGGTAAGGGAGGGGCCTGAGGCCTGCAGGGTCTGAGAAGTGTCTGCCAAGAGCCCAGGGGGTGGATCTTGGTGGAGGGTGGGTGCAGGAACACAGGGTGCCGTCAAGGGTCTCATGCGTAGCCCTGGTGACCGACGCCTGGCACTGCACATGGTCCCTGGTCTTGGGGGGCACCCAGCACTATGGCAGGGGTTCACTGAGGCCAAATCCCAGGCCGGCTCTCAGCCTCAACAGTGTGGGGAGGTTACGGGGGGCCGGGGCTCAGAGGGCCTGGGGGCACGCCCTGGAGGAAGCAGGGCTGCGTGGGAGCCTGAGGGGTTTGGACAGCACTGTTCAGCCTCCTGGGGAAGGAGAGGCCGGGGCTCTCTGAGGGCAGGGCTCGGGCCCCCTGGCACAGGCCGGGTCACCGGTAGCACCTGGGCCTGACGAACTGAATGGCTGGGTAACATCTGCCTGGGGTCTGCGGGGACCAAGGCAGCAGACGGCTGTCCCAGCAGAACCTCCTTGGGCGCAGTGTGACCACAGAGCTGGCCCTTCCGGGGCCCCGGGGGCATAGAGCCTACCTGGCTTTCCTCTCGTAGGAGTCTGGGCGACCCAGGGGGCTCCCTTATTCCTCTGGGGACCAGCTGCAGCACTGAAAAGGGGCAAAGACTAGGGCCCACTGGGTAACTGTGGAAATGGGGCCCTGGCTCAGACCCCTCGATCTCCCCGAGCCTGAGCGGTGCGCTCAGCTCGGGTGGAGAGAGGCCCAGTGTGTGGGGTTGAGTCTTGCTATTGCTCTCGAGTCCAGGGTCTCCCAAACCCTCTGTTGTGCCCCCGGGCTGAGCATCAGCCCCATCCCAAGGCCCTGCCTGAGGCCTGGACCCGTCCGCACTGAACAACCAGTGCAGCTGACAACCCTCCCTGGGTTCCAGAACGTGGCTCTCCTGGGGCTCTGGCCTACATCCCACTCCCCCATCCCATTCCAGAGGCCAGTACCATGTCAAGCACCTCAACTTCACAGATCTCAAGCAGACTCTGATTTCTCCTCCCTCCTCCAAACACAACCACCTGGCTCGCTGCCCCCAGCCCACCTCCCTGTGGCCCCGAGGGTGACTCACCCCTGATCCCACCCTCTCCCTCACCCCACCCGTCCCTCCGCCAGCGAGTCCTGTAAGCTCTCCTGCCAGCTCCCCTCCCACCTCCCTGGCCAGTGAGTGTCCACGTGGCCTCATGGCCCAGCACTGTCCTGCTTTCTCTCCCCATCGCATGGGCTCCTGGCCTCGGGATGGCCTCACTTGGAGCCGGGTTCCTCGAAGATGAAGGGCGTGGGTCTCAGTGGAGGCCGGGCCTCACGCGCCCCACATCTCCCTCGTGCTGAGGGAAGCAGTGTTCCCGTCCACCCGACCCTGCACGCAGGCCCGTGTGGCTGCGGCCTTTGCCCTCCTCAAATCCACACCCGGGCCCATACTCGCTCTCCAGGGGCACCTGCACGGGATGCACCGGCTCAGCGTGGCCACAACACGTCGCTGCCCCCAGACCCCCCCGGGGGCCAAAGTGCATCCACTCATTCATTCATTCATTCCTTCCTTCACGGGGTCATTGGTGTTCACCGGGGAGCATGAGTGTTTCCTGCCTAAATTTGGGGCGGACAGGCGGCGGGGGGCGAACGCAGCGCGGGACAGGGCCGGTAGGGGGCTGGGGGAGACGTCGGCACGGGGCCTGCACCCCTCAACACGACATGACCGAGGGTGGCCGTTCCTGTGCGGGGGGACCCAGGGACGTCTGCGGAAGCAGCCAAGTGGGGCGGGGACGAAGCTGCCAGGACGCCAGGCTCAGACCGCACGCACCCGCTCTGGGGCCCGGGGCCCCCGCGTGACCGTGACCGCGCCCCGCACCCCGACTCACAGCACGTTCCGCGCCATCGCCGCTTCCGGGGCCGCGGGCGGAAGGAGGGGCACGCACGGCCCGCGCGGCCCCGGGCACAGCGCCCCCTCGCTCCCGGGAGGACGCGCGCAGGCCCCCGCCCGGCCTGCACCTGCCCGCACCTGACGCCCACCTGACACCCACCTGGCCGGCACCTGACCCCTAGCGCCCCGCCCTGCGTACCTGAGCCGCACCTGACCGCCACCTGGTCGGCGCCCACCCCCACCGCCCCGCCCCAGCACCTGAGCCGCACCTGACCGCCACCTGGCCGGCGCCTGACACTCCGCCCGCCCCGCCGCGCCCTGCGCACCTGACTGCACCTGAGCCGCGGACGTGACCGTCCACCGTGCCTGGCCCCCACCCGGCCCGCGCCGGCCCACAACCCAGTCTGCGTTTCTGGCCCGCATCCCCGCCCCGCACCCGACCCGCACACTTCCGGCCCTGCACTCCGGGTCCCGCACACCCCGGAAGCGTCCAGAACTCCCCACGCCCCGCCCGTGTCCCGCAGCAACCCCCGCAGTCCCGCGTGTCCCCCTCCCTCCCCCCAGGGCCCAGCACCCCGCGTCTGTAGCCCTTCACGCCCCGCACGCCGGTGCCCAGTGCCCACACGCTGTAGGTCCCTGGGCCGGAGCCTGCCGCCCTCCGGGCTGGCTGCTGGCTGAACTGGGAGGCTGAGGAGGGCAGGGGGGAAGGGAGGGGAGTTTTCCTATCTCTGGTCTGAGGCACCTCTCTCCACCTGGCCGCGTTCCTTTTTCCCTCCCTGGTCTGGAACCCCAGGCTCCCCTCCCAGCCCTTCTGGCCAGCCAGGTTGGGTTCCCTGTGCTGGGCCACTCTCCCCATCCCCTGCCACCCCTCCCAGGCTACCCCAGCCAGGCTCCTCCAGTGAGGCCACTGGCCTGTCCTAGCCTTGCTGCCCACTCCACCCCACCTCCAGCCTCCCCACAGCCCCCACTCAGGGGACCCCCCTCTGTAGAGCCCAATTTGGAGCCCCCTGCCGCTCCCCCACAAACAGCAGGCCCACCGGCAGAAGGAGAGGGCTGCAACCTCCCCACTCCCGGGCCCCACTCTTCCTGGGTTTCCTCTACTCCCTGGCTTCCGGCCTCTCCTCAAATCCCTTTAGCTGCGTCTCCCGCACCAGACTGGCTTGTTCCTCTCTGCACTCCACAGTGCCTCAAATGCTCTTCAGAGCAGGGGGGGCAGTGAAGAAGCACCTTAAGCAAGCTGCAGGGAGAGGAGGGACCCCCCCCCCACCCCGGAAGCAGGGGAAGGGTCTCTGCACTGCAGGGTCTCTGCACTGCAGAGAGGCAGGGGGACTGGCCTCTAGCGTGGGGATGGGAGCCCGGGTAGGGCGGCAAGGAGGCTGCAGCTGGTGGCTGCCCCAGGCTGAGAAAAGGGGGAACATGAGGAGGGGCCGGTCCTGTGTTCCTGAGGAGCTGGCATGGGGATGGGGCTGGGTGCCCTCCTTCTTGGTGTGTTTGATGACGGAAATGACATAAGTAGGTTCACCGAGGATGAAGGTTCTGAAGATGAGGAGTGGGCACTGGAGACAGGTTAGCTGTGACAGTAGGGGAAAGCCTGTCTGCTGGGGAAGGAATAGGGGAGAGCAGGGCTGTCCCCTGCTGTTCTCCAGGCCCTCTGTGGGGTGGAGGTGGTCCATGCTCGGCTTGGAGGGGGTCCATGGCTCAGTGTGGAGGAGGACCTGGTGGAGGGGACAGAGCTGCACAAGGGTGTGCCGGGGCCCATTGAGCCTGGCAGGTGACCTTGGCTGGGCCCAAGGAGAGGGACTGCAGGGGGGTGGGGAGAGAGATGGAGCTGGAGAATGGGGGTTGGAGGGTTGGAGGCCAGTAGGCTGCTTCTTCCCTGAAGGTGTGAGGTTGCACTCAGAGATGTGGCCGAAAGTTGCGTTCAAAGTTGTGTGTGGCTGATGGGAGAGGGCAGTCGGTGGACTCTGTGCTGGTTTTGGTGGGCGCTGCCGCTCCAAGGGGAGGGGGAGGGTTCTGAGCAGGGACCTGAGGTCCTCAGTGAGGGTGGGGGCAGGGATGCGGTCTCAACTGTGCAGACCCACTCAACACTCAGTCCCTGCCTCTCTGATTATCTGCCAACTGGATTCCTCCCCATCAGGCCTGGGATTTCTGAGTGCCGAGGTGGGTCCCATGCTGAGGCTGTGACGCCTGGGGAACAGCATGTGGCCCTTCTCTCTTCCTCTTTCCCCTGCGTCATCAGATCCACCCCCATCACGGCTTTGCTTGCCCCAGTCCTGAAATCAACAGCGTGGCTCCACAGGGCTGGGCTTACCAGATAAAGTGGAGGATGCCCAGTTAAACTTGAAGTTCTGATAAAGGACTGTTTTTCTGTTTTTTAATAGGCTTGGCTTTTTAGAGGAATTTTATAGAAAAATTGCACAGAAAGAACAGAGTTCCCAAATACTCCCCCCTCCGCAGTCTCCGGGAAAATTAACATCTTGCCCTGGTGTCGTACATCTGTTACAACTGATGGTTCTATAGCAATACATTATTATTTTTTTGATGGAGGTAACTGGTTTATAACGTATAGATTTCACGTGTCCCTCATTAGCTTTGGACTTCTGTATAGACTACATTGTGTTTGCCACCAAAAGTCTAGTTTCCCTGATACATTGTGATGAGCTAAAGTGCACAGTTTACCTTAGGGTTCACTCTCGGTGGTATACATTCTATCGGTTTGGACACACGGATAATGACAATATCCATCATTCCAGTGTCACACAGAGTATTTCACTGCCCTGAAAGTCCTGTGTGCTCCACCTTTTCACCTCTCCCTCTCCTCTAACCCCTGGCAACCCCTGATCTCTTCACTGTCTCCATAGTTTTGCCTTTTCCAGAAAGTCATAGAGTTGGAATCATATAGTCTGTAGCCTTTTCAGATTGGCTTCTTTCACTTAGTCATAGGTGAAGGTCTCGGTCTCCACGGAGCACATGTTCCCGAGGGAGACAAATGGAACCTAAGTAAATAAGTGAGATACATCGGAGATACATACAGGGAAGGGTAACGGGAGGTGGGAGGGAGCTGCAATTTTAAATGAGGCAGTCAGAGGAGCCTCACTGAGAAGAGGGCATTTCAAGTGCAAAGGGACAGCATGTGCAAAGGCCCTGTGGTGAGCAGGCTTATGTGCTAGAGGGGTGCAAGGGAGCCCATGTGGTGCAGCACACTAGCCCTTGGCCCTCACAGGCCCCTGGCCACCCTGGGTGAAAGGCACTTTTCCCTCTGCCACCTCCTCTTCATGGAAGGTCTCCCTAAGGGCAGAAGTGGTGAGCGGGGACTGGGATTGAGAAGGGGATCCTGGAGGGGCCATGGCACTGGCTAGCCCTGGGTTACCAGAAGCATGAGGGCTGGGCAGGGAGATGCCCGCAGACTAGTCTCTGGCGGCTCTGGGGAACCAGGGAACCAGGTTGGCAAGGGAAGAGGGAGCTGGGGAGCTGGAAGGGTGTGGGGGGCAACTGAAAAGCTCCCCCTTATCTTTATTGATAACTATGACTGATTCTGAACTGCTTTGTAAGAACAGCACAGCTATTGCTCCTGGCTCCCTACTTTGACTTCGGTTTGCACTGGGCTGCAAAAACCTGCATAACTATGTACGTGTACCTGCCACGTATATGGTAGGTGTGCCCTGTGCGTGGGCAGGAGGCAGCACTGGACACAGACAGAGGCTCAGGGGCACTTTTGTTTGCATACACGTGCCTGGAAATCTGCCTCCTCACACTGAAACCCCTGTGAGACTGTAAGAAACAAAGAATATTCTAGAAGGGGACGGGGTGATTCTCGGCACCTATAAGGGTTCTGATCATCACATTCCGATACGGGGGGAAGGTCTTCCCCCACAAAGCAAGTCTCGGACACCAGCTGGGTGTCCTGCAGTTCAGCTCAGCTCTGACACTGTCAGATCCCACAGGTGAAGGGCTCGGTCCTACAAGCCTCACCCTGGCTTCAGACTCCAGCCGCGAGTCCGGGTTGTCATCTGTACTTCTGACCGGGCGGCTGTGAAGCCGAGGTTCCCACAGCCCCCTCCTCGGGTTCAGTTAAGTTGCTAGAGCGGCTCCCGGAACTCAGAGACATTTACTTGCTAGATCACTGGTTCATTATAAAAAGATGTAACTTGCAACAGCCAGATGAAGCGTGCACAGGGCGAGGTGTGGGGAAAGTGTGCTGTCGACTGAAATAAAGAGTCGGGTAAAGATTAATTAAAGGAGGTTATTTGATGATCAAGGCGAGGAACTCAAGGGCAGAGAAATAACTCCATGGGTGTTCTGAGGAGCTGCTCCGAGGTGTACAGGTCTGAGGGCAGTTTTTATTCTTTTTAACAAAGCAATGTTCATGCTTCGTTGAAAGGAAAGAAGTTGCACGTCGAATAGTCATCTGCTTCAAGGACGACAAGACCAAGAGCTTTCTGGCATACGTCAGCAAGGCTTGTGATGTTGGTGTTATCTGTGTGTGGAGGGAGGCAAGGACCGGGGTCCTCACGCTTCCCCTCAAATCTCCAAGAAATGCAGCTGGGAGATGTGGGAGCGAGGTACCCGTTATCTCTTCCTGCTGTGGGTCTGTCCAGCTGGTGTCTTCAGTCACGAGATGCGGGGTTGCAAGGTCACTCTAACAGGCCTGCACGGCTGCTCCCAGCACGGCCCGGATTTCTGTGCTGACTTTAAGCCTGTGCAGCTGGCTTGCTAGATATGCCTGTTAGAGCGGGGAGAGGGGTTCCATGCCCTCTCCGAACGCCGCTCTCCCCAAATCTGCCCATGTTCACCAGCCGGGAGCTCTGCCAATCTGGCCCTCTCGGGTTTTTATGGAGGCCTCATCACGCAGACGCGATTGATTAAATCATTGGCCATTGGTGATGGATTGGCCCTCCAGCCTTGCTCCCCTCCTCAGAGGTGCAGGGGCGGCTGAAAGTTCCCACCCTCCGATCACAATTTTTTCCCCCAAAAACCAGTCCCCATCCTTATGGGGTTTCCAAAAGTCACCTCATTAACAGAAACCCAGTTGTGGTGGAAAGGGGGCTTGTAGGAGGAACAAGAGACCCTTGTCACCATCAGGGGTCTGAAGTAATTTCAGCAACTGAGGACGACAGACCAAATGTTCTAACTAAAGATGCTCCCATTGCTCTTATCACTCAGGAAATTCCAAGGGTTTTAAGAGCTGCGAGCCAGAAACTATGGACGGAGACCAAATATATATTTCTTACAAATCGCAATATCGCAGGCTGTTTTTGCAACATGGGAGATACCAAACATTTCTCCCAGGCAGCCCCTCCCGCCAGCCACTCCTGCCTGGGGCCTCCTTGCTTCTCACGGGAGAATTGCCTCTCCCTGCCACGGGTCCCCGGCCCCTCACCCCTTCCCCGGGCTGGGGCCCCCACTCCCCTGCATAAAACTCACTCGGCCTTTCCCAGGGGGGGTTGGGGCCCAGGGCAGGCCACCCCCAAATATCCCACAATAGCTTACTGATTATTTTGAATTACTGTCAGTTGAGAAGCGAAAAGGGCATTCTGCCCCCCTGTCTCTGGTCCCCGTGCATGCAGGAAATAAATCTCCATGTGAAAGGTGCTCCCTGCATCCTTATCGCCAGAGCGAGGAGGAATTCAGGGCTGAGAAGCTGCATAAACAAACTTTGCTAATTTACTGCCTCAAGCCTCAACTCTGCTTAAATTCCTCCCTAATTACGTGCCTTGAATCTAAGTTTCTTTGTCCTGTCAATTCCCCACAAATTTATTGTTTCTTTGTGTAAAAGATATATATGCTGCCGGCTTTGTTCCCTCTCCCAGCATCATGTCTCTATGATCTCTAATACGTACGCATTCAACTGGGTGTTTCTCCTATTAATCT